TCAAACGGATTAGCGGAGCGTGCAGTACAAACTGTGAAGCAAGGCTTACTAAAGCAGCGAACGGGAACATTGCGAACAAAACTGGATCGGTTCCTATTCTCCTACCGTTCTACACCCACTGAGGCTACCGGGAAATCCCCGGCGGAATTGATGTTCGGCAGAAATCTGAGAACGAGGCTTCATTTGTTGTTCCCGAACCCGCGTGTTGAAGTACAGGAGCGTCAGAAAAATTTTGTGTCTTCAGAGGAATCAAAGCCGGAAGTTACATTTCAGGACCATCAACCTGTTTACACCAGGTTACCGCATGAATAATGTTGGCAGCCGGCGACTGTGCTCGATTCTTCAGGAAGTCAAAACGATTTGCAGCTTCCGGAATAAAAATATATAGAAAGAGAGGCCCGTAAGAAACCAAGACGACTAAAACCGAAAATGCTTCCTTAAACACGATAGAGTGGTCAGAATACTAATTAAAGTAAAATATTTTTATTGAATAAAAAACTGAGTCCGACTAATCCCGAAGAAAAAAAAATTAAATATTAATCCGGGCCAAACAGGAAACATATAAATCTACAAGAAATATATTTAGTTAATTTGTTAAATTATAAGGTGTGATATACGATTGTTAAGTAATTTTTTTTTATTATTATATATTTTATTTGTTTAAATAAAATATTTAATAATAGGATATTTATAGAAAAAGTACCAAAAAGAATAAAGAAGAACCGAACACTGAGAAAAAACTATCCGGCGGACACGAAGCAAAACACATTCACAAAACTATTAATTGACTGCATAAACGTAACAAAGATCAATAAAAAAGTAACAGAGAAAAAAAAAAAATAAAAGAAAAAATAAAAAATAAATATATACGCAAAAATAAAAGTAAAAAAAATAAAACAGAAAAATAAAAAAAAAAAAAATGAAAAGAAAGAAAAAAAAAAAAAAAAAGAATAAAAAAGAAAAAAAAAAAAAAAAAAAAAATAAAAAACGAAAAAAAATAAGATAAAAAAAAAAAGAAAAAAAAAAAAGAAAGAAAAATAAAAAAAAAAAAAAAAAAGAAAAATAAAAAAACAAAAAAAAGAATGAAAATAAGAAAAAACACGGAAATAGACAAACAAGAAGAACAAAGGAAATAAAAGTGGTGAATAAAAATTATGGTGAAATTGTTTAATTTTGAAAGGAAGGCCCAACCAGCCCCCACGTGCCCCTCGCCTGCCCTTCCACTTCGCTGCCGCCCCCCGCCACTCCTTCCGCCCCCCCTGCCCCCTCCCCCCCCTCCCCCCAACCCCCACCCTCGCCCCACCCCCCCGCGCCCCCCCCCCCCCCCCCCCCCCCCCCCCCCCACCCCCCCCCCCCCCCCCCACCCCCCCCCCCCCCTCCCCCCCCCCCCCCCGCCCCCCCCCCCCCCCCCCCCCTCCCCCCCCCACCCCCCCCCCCCCTCCCCCCCCCCCACCCCCCCCCCCCCTCCCTCCCCCGCCCCCCCACACCCGGCCCCCCCCGCCCCCCCCCCCCCCCCCTCCCCCCCCCCCACCCCCCCCGCCACCCCTCCCCCCCCCCCCCCCCCCCCTCCCCCCCCCCCCTCCCCCCCCCCCCCCCCACCCCCCCCCCCCTCCCCCCCCCCCCCCCCCCCCAATCGAAAAGCATACGATTCCGGAAACAACAGTGAAAAAAAAAAAAGGGAGCAAGAAATATCCGGAACGAAAAAAAAAATACAACGAGGAAACATTAGAATTAAAATGGGAAAAAAGATAACAAAAAACAAAAAAAAATCCCGGAATGAAGAAACGAAAAATAAAAGAAGAAAAAAACAAATGGAACACAAAACATACAGAAAAGACCAAAACCAATGAGGAACTCAAAATGCAATAAGAAACAAAAAAAGAAAACGTGAAAAAAATAAATTCCAGAAACCGAAAGATCCCCCGAAAAATGAGAAAATTATAAGCAAATAAAAAAGAAAAGTAACAAAGAAAAAAAAGAATCCGGAAAAAAACCGGAGTTAAGAAGAACGGTAAAAAAGGAAGAAAGATAATTCCGGCAAAAGAAAAAATCAAAAAAAATTTCCGATTATGGTCGGCGTAGGAACAACGAGCGAAGTTGTTTTCGAGTACGGCACTCAGATTATGTTTTGTGTGGGTGTATATATTAGGGGTGTGGTAAGTGGTAATGAATAGGGGTTGGGGTGGGTTGGGGATGGGGGGGGAAATAGGGAAGTTTTTTAAGGATTGGGTATTATTGATTAGGGGTGTTTAGATAAGAGGTGGGGTATGTGTTAGGTGATAATAGATTGATAGGAGGTAGGGTAAAGTAGATGGGGGGATAGGAGTGGGGGAGTATGTAAGAAGATTGAAGGAATAGATGGGTATTAGAATATAAAGAATTTTAAATTTGGAGATGGAAGGGGGGAGATAGGGGGAGGTTGTGTTAGGAGGATGGAGAGTGGTTAAATGGTTTAATAGTGAAGTAGTGAGTGATTATATTTTGATGATGAATCCTTACTGCTACTGTGTAGGTGCTGTCCAGTTCAAAATAACAACTCCTAGGGCCGACGTTGTTCCTCGATCGATATTCGTGCAGGTGTCACTTTCCCTCACACATACTGTAGAGTGCACACGCAATATTTAACCACAACTGATCACTTGCTTCTTCGTGGGTTAACTAGCACTCCACATTCCTCTGTCCCGAGCCCCATATCGCCCCAACCAAATTTTTCACCCTACCTAACGAACGAGACTGCCTCACCCTTATCTCCGCTCACGACATCAATGGCCAAACATGGCCGCAGGTCCACACTCAAACACCAAAGTTTGGACGCTGACGTGTACGCACACTGTACGATCGGACACCAGTCATCGACCTACGCAGCGAACCGCATCAGTCGCCATGGCGGTTGCGCGGTAGGACAGTGATATCGCAGCGCTGAGTGAGATCCGACTGGCGGAGCAAGGTAAGTTGCAGGAAGATGGCGTTGGGTATGCTCTACTGGCTTGGAGATCTCGACACAGCACCCCATGAGAAAGGCGTTGGATTTAAAATTACTGACCGCCTGACTAGCCGCATAGATTGATTAGAATGATTAACTACGGACTTGGTGCTAAGCAGTATCTTTATTGCACTGTCTAAAAGGCACCTGCTAAGGTTGAATTAGAAACGGCCAATCTTCTGGGTAGACTAAGAATAAGGTAATGGCAATCATAATAATGTAGTGACCTGCAGATTCCCCAGCTTGATATGTAAAGGAACCCTAAATACTGCGAACTCGTCGTTTTCTCATGTATTAGGGGAGCAAGTAGTTTGCAGGCTTGTATCGTGTACGTGTTTGCGTGAAACACCCCAAGAACACCCGAGTTGGTCCGCGTGCTTCTAAAAGCAATTGGATCCTCCCATCGCACTCAGCACTCTATCACACACTTCCTAGTTAGTCAGCATCCGGTGCCCTAGTTTTTACCTTAAGGTTTAGCAACCCACTAATAACCATTTTTCTAGCATTTTCCGGATGTTCTGCCCCAAGCCATTGGTTGGTCATTGAAACCTAGCATCGGATATACCGTTAGACCAACGCACACTGTAATTGCTGACCCCCACTTGACCCCAAGTAAGGTGTGCGTTGGTCTAGTGGCATATCTGATACACAGGTTTGAATGGCCAACCAAAGGCCTGGGGCAGGACACACGGAAATAAGCTAGAAAAACGGTTATGCGAAGGTTGCTTAACCTTAGGAATAAAAATAGGGCACAGAAAGATGACTAGTTAGGGAGTAGGTGGTAGGGTGCCGAGTGCGCTCGGAGGACCAACGTTCTCTGCGTAGCCCGTGGACAAAGTCCGGAGGTTGTCGGTGTGTCTCATACAAAGACTTGCACGATACAAGCAGGCAAATTAATTACTTCCGTAATACATGAGAAAACTACTCTATACTTTTGGGGTTGCTTTACAGAGCAAACGGGGGAAACTGCAGGTTACTGCAATATTACGTCAGTCTCGTAGTGTGCTACGTCGGTAAGGCATCGGCGCATAGCGACAATAGTTTATTTTAGGAGCACCGAGTGGCTGCACATGAGACGTACGACGCGGGGCGTTACCAATAGCCTAGAGCCACAGCAGGCTACACAGTCTTGTGCACAAAAGAATGGGTATTTGGATGACAGCCATGCTAGGTCTTGAACGTTTGCAAAACAGTGCGAACGCTGTTTAGAAAGCCGCATGTTTGATAGTTGACAGCATAGTCGAGAATAAACTATTTATTTATTTAGTTATTAAATAGGTACATTTTTTGACTGGCTAGATGCTGCGCAAGTAGGGGAACAGATCAATATTTGCATTAATCCTATGCTTCTGCATGGCTGTGAGAACAATATAAGTATATGTTCCTTGTTGGCAATTACGAGGGTATAAGATATGTTAAGTTTACAGCTGAAGATTTGTACTCGTCCACCATGAAATTCTTCCGGCTTCTTCAGGCGATCTTTGTGCTACTTGATTTTGTTTTTGTGAAAGCGAGCCACAGTTGCGGTTGCGCATGTTTCCTCGGGAAACAGGATTCAATTTGCCACCAACTTTACTATAAATTCATTGGTCAACTAGTCCCTATCTGTAAAAGGAAGCTGGTTTCTAAGGGCTTACCTTGGATGGAGTATGCGTTCCGGATCCTTATGAACAAACGACACAGCTTATTGGACAGATTTAGGTCTACCACAATGGATATAGACCGCTCGGACTATAAGGTAGTTGGGAACCTCTGCACACGAACTTAACTCGAGAAAGATAACGGTACGAACTTCGTTTGATAGAAATATCCAAGACCACTCCGAAACTACTGTGTTCATATCTTAAAAGGAGTACAGAAGCTGGGTGTGGGCTACCACGCTGCATTCTAGTAATAATGACACCTTACAGTATGCGGATGATGCCAAAGCCGATCTCCTGGTTTTGCAGTGTTTCTCCGTCCTTTCCGTCAAGGCTCCATTATCCCGTGTCTATAGCATTACGTCCCTCTACACTAGAGCCTATTCAGGTCGTGGACAACTTGGGTATGCGACTACTTCTTGGATTAACCCCAAACACTCCACCGGGTCCAGATGCTTTGCAATTTTGCTCCTCAAGGCGGTAGCTAAGTCCATTGCTTCTGCGGTTTGCCAGGTTTCTCGGCACTCCCTAGACACTAGACATCTTCCGTAGTATTGGAAACCGGGTGTTGTGCGGCCTATATACAAGGGAAGGTCGTCAGGATCCTGCAAACGACCGGCCGACTCGTCTGCCATCAATACTTTGTAAAATTGTGGTAAGCGTTTTTGAAGTGAGCCGTAAAACTACACCTGGAGAACCTGCGTAGCCTCTCAGACACTCAACGTGGCCTTCGGAAGTCACGTACCTGTTTCTCTAGCTTGCAGGTTACGAGAGGAAAATGGACGCGGTCGATGGATGACAGTACTCGTATGGATGCCGTATTCATTGACTACAGCAGAGCACTTGACAGTT